TAGAAAATAAAACCACGGACTACATGGTATCAAGCCAGGAATTTGGATTGAATGTGGTGGTACGGTTTCCATCCAGAAAGGAATGGAGAAGGGGCCAAGCAGATGATAAGGAAGCTGTCTGAATCTACACAGACGTATCGAAGATGGACTGCGGTGTGGGGGCAGTAGTATATTCCGAGGAGCTTGGTGCCAATCTGTCCCTGCGGCTGGCGAACCAATGCTAGCATATTTCAGGCCGAAGTCCTTGGCATATGTGAGGCCTGTAGGTTGCAAATTAATAGTGCTACTAGAAAAGTAAAAGCAGTGATTTACTCAGGCCACCAGGCTCTGCTAGCTATATCGTCTCCTGGTACCAAGTCTAAGCTAGTCAAAGAATGCAAGATGGAGCTACGCTTAGCATCCCAGTCAATGTCTAGCTCTCTTGTCTGGGTTCCCGGCAGGGATGAAAAATGGAAATTTCATATTGTACTTAATATCATAAAATAAATGTACCTAAATGAGACAGATTGTACCTAAAAAAAGTTACATCATTCATTTGTAGTTTTTTTTATAAATTTTATTTAAAACATGAATACAAAGGATGGATGTACTTTAAACATGATTAGGTTTTTGTTTTTTTAACTGAGCCTATATCTATAGACTATTGGTGTTGGTTTTGTCAAATCTTGACTACTGAAAGATATTGGCGAAAAAGACAAAAAACATACTTTGCGAAGTATACTTCTTTATCCAGCAACAACACGAAAAGTCTGCTAATTTATCCGATTCCTTTTGATAGGTGCAACAAGTCTAGAGAAAATAATCAAATTGCCGTAAGTATCTTCGAAAGCATTTTAAATATATTTCCAGAAATCAAAAAGCGAATATGGGTCAATAATAATAATTGTACCTAAAATCCACTGACTGTACCTAATGTACCTTTAAGTCATCCAACGTCGGAAAAAGGTACAATTGTACCTATTTTTTCATCCCTGGTTCCCGGCCATAGGAATATAGAAGGTAACGAGAGAGCAGACGAATTGGCCGAGGCGGGAGCTTGTTTGGATGAATCGGTAGCGGTGCTACTGGGCTACCCCCTTAGACAAGTACAAGCAGAGGTACACTTACATTTTCTGAAACTGGCAAGGAGGAGGGGGTCAGAGATTCAGACTTGCAAGATAGCACGTGAGCTTTGGCGTGACTATTGCAGGAAAAGAACAGCAGAGCCAAGGGTAGATGTATTTAGGATTGTAGCGACTATCACCGGCCACTGGCCGCTGGTAAAGCACGCCTATATAGGACTCCCATACAACGATACATGCCGCAGCTGCCGGATAGAGGGAAGCGAGGAAACAGTGTTCTATATCTTGTTTGAACGCCCAGCGCTGGCTTCCTCAAGGCATAAAGCTTTCGGGAAACACACAATTCGGCAGCTAGTGGATTCATCTAGGGCTACAATAAGCGATATGCACAAATTTATAAGCGGGGCAAAGTGGTTTGTTTGAACTGCGCAAATGCTTGACAGGTAGGCTACGGTAGAATAAAATTGTCCGCGAGAAGTGAAACAAAATGGTGCGGCTATGCGCTAATTGATTCCTGAGGACAACTTGGGAGGCACTACAACCAACCAACTGACCTATGTCTTATATATTCTCCAAGGTTAGAAGTCTCAGCAGGTCTGGCTCCATCTTTGACAGGGACAATGTACTGTGGGCGGTAGAGTCCTTTGAAATTTTCAAAGCTGCAGTCGGAGTTGGCTTATATCCAGCACCAACTCAGAGATTAATTGATGCTATCATCGATCGGCTCGTCTGTTTATTGAGGGCAAGTTGTCCATGTGAATACATACCGTATAATTGGAGAAAGGCATTAGAGGGCTGCATGAATTCATTCAAACTTTTAGCCAAACAGAGTACAGTAGATTTGAATGTTTTACTTCACATACAAAACACTCAGCGTTTGGAATTTTGTAAGTTATGAATATTTACATTTAAATTTACTACCTTCAAATGGAAGAATGTGAATGAATGAGTGGAAAACATTGAAATCATTCAAACTCATTTCGGTAAAAGTTTTTTTCTACAAACAAGTTTTTTCGTATGTAATAGGAGCGCAGCAATACATACATACATACATAACGAACTATAGTCCGTCCAATTGTAGCTTATGCCTCTATAGTCTGGTGGCCAAAAACGCTTGCCGTTTCGCCTCTGAACAAACTCCAAAAGATGGCTCTTCTGTCGGTGACAGGAGCAATGAGAACATGTCCAGACGTGGCTGGAACCCACTCCACATTTTTGTTCAGGCAGCAGCAGCTTCGAGGAATTTGCAGATGCAATATTGTGACAGAACTTTTAAAAACAAGACACAATACGCAAAATCTGCGAGTGTTCCGACGCTAAGTCAAAGGAAACCTGTTGATGTTTGTTCTACCGACTGTTTTCTGTTTATTTAAGTTTGTTTGTTTTCGGGTTTACAGTCAAATAAATCAGAAAAAAAACATTTTTTTTCATGCCAACGTTTCGATCTTTTTATTCTGGTCTTCCAGGGCCTAATGACAATAAAGCAAATAAATAAACATAACTTTTTAGGTCCGAAATCAAAAAAGTATAAATAAATAATAGAATTTAAGTCAAAAAGTATCTCACTAAAAATCGCAGCTGCTTGAGTATTTCTTCTAGTAACATTCTCTTCTCCCAATTTCTTTCTCTTTCTAATATTTTGGCTCCATCAGAGTCAAATTTGTGACAAAAAGTAATAGCCCTTTTTTCAGTTCTTTGGTTCTCAACACCTTTGCTTTGCTGATTTAATCGCTTGTATAACTGTTGTGAAGTGGTGCCTATGTAGTTTCTCTCTCGCTGGCAATCGGCGCAATTAACTTGATAAACGACATTCTTCTCTTTTTTGGTTGGAATAGATCTTCCATTTAATTAAATATTTGTCCAACGTTGTTTTTGTTCATGAATGTAAACCGAATGTTGTCAGTGTACTCTTTGAATTTTCGCGTAATTCTTTGGGTTGCATATGGAAAATACGATATTGTGAGTTTTTTAGCAGCGGTTTGCAGTGATTGTTATTGTTGTTTATGGCGTGATAGCGATTAATGAGTCTGCATGATAATTTGTTATCGCTGAGACTGAATATTCGATTAGCAACCCTTGTCGGTGCTAATCTTCTCGATTAGCGGGTGCATCGACATGTAATTTAATATAAATAATATTATTTATTTAAGCTTTTGTTTGATTGCGGACCTAACAAGTTATGTTTTTTTCTTTGCTTTATTGTCATTGAGCCCTGAAGAAATCTACAATAAAAAGGTTGAAATGTCGGCATAAAAATATAAAAGGCTTTTTTCTGATATATTTGGTTGTAAACCCGAACACAAACAAAGTTAAATCAAAAGGATACCTGTTATGGAAGGAAATTTCAGGTCAAAACTTCAGACCCAGATGTCTTGTCAAATGCTTTACCAGAACTAGTTCCCAAATATGTGTACTGGTACACAGACGGATCAATATGGAGGTAGAGCAGGGGCGGGTGCCACTTGGGCCACGGTTTTTCAGGCCGAGGTACTAGCCATCTCAATTTGTGCCATACTGAACCTTGAGAAGGGTTTAAAAGGCGCGTTTCTAGTTATATTTTTAGATAGCCAGGCGACGATAAAGGCCCTCTCTAATTGGAAGATCGCCTCCAGGCTCGTCAAGGAGTGCTTTGACATTATTAAACTCTTGTCAGCAAGGAACACGGTATTACTACGCTGGGTATCAGGACACTGCGGGATCGTGGGGAACGAGGTCGCCAATGAATTGGCAAGGGAAGGCTCATCGTCCGTTCTTATGGAGCCGGAACCATTTTCCGGACTCAGCTGGTCCTCCTCGAGGCTTAAAATAGATCCGTGGGTAAACTCACCCGCGCTGTTTTATGTCCCGGATTGGTATTTTCACAGAGACGGACTGCCGTCTTTCCCTTGAAGACGAGGCGACGTCAGAGCACATTATGGCTGACTTCCAAAACGTATCAATACAATATTTGGAAACTGTTATACTGCGGTATTCAAAGTGTTTGTATATGCAGAGTTCTAACACATTGCAATCATATACATTGCATATTTTAAATATTCAATATAGCAATGACCAATTTTTCTGAATTTTCCATTTCTAAAACACCAATGCTAACCAATAACAAACGAAGCATCAACTTTGTTTCTGATGCGCTGATTGCTCGAGCGATGCGTTTCGATAAGTTTTCGGCTGCGTTTTGGAACAATATACATTGTCAATATTTTGCAGTTAGACGTTATGGAACCTTATACTTTGTACGTATGCAAAGCAATTGACGTTTTGGAAGTCCGCCTATGTGTGATTGTCTGGCATTGGTCAGGCTAAGACTGCAATGCTTCCGTTCTTTCACAGTCGATGCCCTTGGGGTTAGGAACTCATCTACCAAGCAACTTTAAGCATTTGTAAAGGAGGCTAATAACATCTTGGCCGTCTGCGTTAGAAACCATCATAGGTATACAAAAGATCTTCTAGGTCGCGGTGTCCCTTTCTGTTACACCCAAAACATTAACATTACATTACAAGTTTGATGTTGCTAAAGAATCGCGTTGATGTTGGGACATTTTTCTTCCAAACAAACTATATTCGACATTTTGTTTTGAATGAAAAAGGCGTAATGCGGTCAGAAAAAATATTATCATTGCGATTTTTTAGCAACTTAAAACATGCACTTTAATGTACATACTAGAATTTAATGGGCTATAAAACTACATACTCAAAAAAATTCTGGAAAATCTGATTAAAAAGTTGAAAACTTAGATGCAGCTTTGCAGATATAATTTTTAAATCAAAATTTCATACTTTGAGCAAAATTATAAAAATTTTGCAAAGTTTCTGAAAAATTCTAAACCAAATAAAAAAACAAATTCAATGAAAGCGAGATATTTATTAAACAAATCTATCGGTAATACATATGTACATTAATTTTTTTTATATACACATAAGATTACGTTTAGCATTTACCTGAAGGAGAGGTTTGTGTTAGTACTGCTGGTAGCGCTAGCAGCGCGCCGACTATTAGAAATAACACATTTCTGGCTGTTATAGTTCTTCTTGTGGTACATAAGTCTCGATACCGTTGTGCTACGGTAAGCTTTGGCAACAGAAAATTTGACGGTTCTCGTCTGGAAACTTTTGACTCCTGCTGCTGCATGTGCGTCTGAAGCTGCAATAACCCGCCTCTACAGGGCGGCTGCAACATCTTTCAAAATTGAAGATTTTCGCCGATGTATTTAACGCCTGGTTGTTTTTATTGTACCTACACAGAGTAAGAAATCAAAAAAAAATTCAATTTGTATTGTAATTGTGACAGCATTGCGAATTAAAAAAAAAGATATATATGTGTGACTGTTGGATAAGGGTATTTTTTGCGGGGGAGATGGACTAGCCGTTAACCACATCAATGCTATTGGGCTATTGAATACATGGTGCATTACAAGCTTAACTAATAATTACGTTGGAAGGTTGAGCGTAGAACCTTGCTAACTGCCTTGTTCTCTTTCTTCACGCAGCTCTTAAGAGTTTCAAATAACACAGCATATTTAGTCGCGGCCAACATTTGAATGAAATTATTTTTTAAAAGTAATACCATGTTCACGTTGAAATTTTAACTCGAGTTTAACGTTTTGACTTTATAAACAACTGTCAAGTGTTCTAATTGGGGTGTTTAATAAACTCAGAGTTTAATGTGACATTTGTTTGTTTACTTTTTCTTATTTACATTTAGCCTGTTCCCGTACTCTAGGATTGAGACAGAAATAGTCCGAAGTAGCCGTGGTGTAGAATATCAACCGTTTAGCCAAAAAGAAATAAAAAACGTAGCTAAATAGAACTTTTCATGCTGATTTCAACCAAGATTATTTGGGGCAAATAAAAACTAAAGCCAATAAAAGAGGTTAAAGTTTAACTTTTATATTTTTTATATTTATTTACATACGAAAAAATCGATATATCCACAAAACTGGGGCCAAAATATAGTAAAACTGCGTTTTTAGCTTTTTCTCTTTTTTTAAGGACTTTGAAATCTCTAGAATATGATTGAAAAAAAAATTATTCAAAAGATTCGGTGCATTGTAGAATAACAATATGGGTATAAGTTATAAGGAAAAATTCTGTAGAATGGAAAAAATAATAATTTTTTGGTGCAAGGACGAATAAGTATTGAAAATATCCTTTGAAAACTTTATCCTTGAATATCCTTGGAAATTATTTTCCGTGGGCCAAGGTTAAAAATTCAATGATATTGGGTTTGGAGCTTTTTGGCCGGTTATATTGAATAAAACAAGTGTTTACTTCTTCTCCTACGCGTTTCGACGCATATTCGCGTCTTCTTCAGGGAGTCTATATATTTATAAATACGAAAAACATAATAATAACGAATAATTATTACAAGGAGCAAATAAGACAATACAAAATAATTTAACACTAATTACACTTACTTTAATATTAAGCAATAAAATTATCACAACATAAATTAAACATATTTAAAACATTAAGACACGTTAAACAACACTGCACATCCTTCATCGTCAAACCTCAGACATTGTGTGTAATTGCAGTCGCATATGCACAGTTTATATTATCTACGTCTTCTTTGAAGTTCATTGCTTCAGTTATTTTTTGTTGTATGCGCAACCCTTCTAATGTCATCCTTCTTCTCGTTCTGCTCTCCACGTCCAAAACCTTTGCATTGCATGCTACGGCTTCCACACAGNCACCATCAAACAATACGGCAAAAACCACAAAATACTTGCGAAACAACAACAACGGCTTAAATTTCTACTGAAATGTAAAGACTTTGGAATTCTACCACCACATCTAAAGGGAAAGACCAGCAAAATTATACAGGGTTTCAAACTCGACAAAACTAGGAAGGAAATGCTAAAGATTGAAAAACAGTTCTTAACTAAAATTCTCAGTTTGGAGATAAAAGAGGCTAATATACAAATAAAAATCGTTAATGACGCCATAAGAAAAAACTACGCGAAATTCTGGAAGATAATGAATACAATTCAGTAGTCGAAACACAAAACCAATTTCTAAAGCATACCAAAAACAAAACAGAAGGGACTCTTAATAGAAAACTACAAAATTCAATTAACGAAAACTTTGAAAAATTTGAATTGAGACGTAATGAGGATTGGTTAACAAATAACACCAAAATCGCCATTCCTGTCGAGTGCAGATGGTTGCTTTCTTTGGGGAACAAGTTCGCTCTGCCAGTTTCTAGGAAAACATTTTCACCATTGCATTTAATAGCCGACATCGAACAAAGCATACAAACTATGGAGGATAACAGAGAAAAAGATATGGTGAGATGCAAATTTGCGACCAAAGTTAACACATTTAAAAATAAGTTAATAAATAGTCCAAAAGAGAAATCTATACATCAAATTTACGAAGAAACACGACGATTTATCAAGCAACATAAGGATTCCATAATTATTACGAACGCAGATAAAGGAAATAGGACAGTGGTGATGTACAAGGAAGATTATAAAGAAAGAATGAAAGACCTCATCAGTGACAAGCTTACATATAAAACTATTAGAACTGACCCCACCCAAAAATTGATGAGAAAGAATAATAATATTGTGAATGACCTCTACAAGAATAAAAACATCGATTTAAAACTGAAACATCACTTGACATGCACAGCAGCGACAGCACCTAGACTGTATGGTCTACCAAAAGTCCACAAAAGAAACATACCACTTCGACCAATTTCATCCTCAATAAATGTACCATGCTCCGGACTATCTAAATACATAGGACAAATACTAAAAAATATCGTCTCCGAGAAATTTAATATAAGAAACTCATTAAATCTGAAAGAAAGTATAAAGGATCTGCATATTGATGATGATGAAATTCTCATATCCTTGGACGTCGTTTCCCTCTTTACAAATATACCCATTCACTTTGCAATCAACACAATAATGAAGCAGTGGTCGAGTCTGCAAAAACACACAAAAATCATAAAAAAGCAATTTCTAACGATATTAGAATTTTGTCTGAGGGAAAATAATTACTTTGTGTACGATGGAACTTACTACCAGCAAGTTTGTGGTATGCCGATTNTTCTTAACTAAAATTCTCAGTTTGGAGATAAAAGAGGCTAATATACAAATAAAAATCGTTAATGACGCCATAAGACAAATTAAAAAAAAATTACGCGAAATTCTGGAAGATAAAGAATACAATTCAGTAGTCGAAACACAAAACCAATTTCTAAAGCATACCAAAAATAAAACAGAAGAGACTCTTAATAGAAAACTGCAAAATTTAATTAACGACAACTTTGAAAAATTTTAATTGAGACCTAATGGGGATTGGTTAAAAAATAACACCAAAATCGCCATTCCTATCGAGTGCAGATGGTTGCTTTCTTTGGGGAACAAGTTCGCTCTGCCAGTTTCTAGGAAAACATTTTCACCATTGCATTTAATAGCCGACATCGAACAAAGCATACAAACTATGGAGGATAACAGAGAAAAAGATATGGTGAGATGCAAATTTGCGACCAAAGTTAACACATTCAAAAATAACTTAATAAACAGTCCAAAAGAGAAATTTATACTTCAAATTTACGAAGAAACACGACGATTTATCAAGCAACATAAGGATTCCATAATTATTACGAACGCAGATAAAGGAAATAGGACAGTGGTGATGTACAAGGAAGATTATAAAGAAAGAATGAAAGACCTCATCAGTGACAAGCTTACATATAAAACTATTAGAACTGACCCCACCCAAAAATTGATGAGAAAGAATAATAATATTGTGAATGACCTCTACAAGAATAAAAACATCGATTTAAAACTGAAACATCACTTGACATGCACAGCAGCGACAGCACCTAGACTGTATGGTCTACCAAAAGTCCACAAAAGAAACATACCACTTCGACCAATTTCATCCTCAATAAATGTACCATGCTCCGGACTATCTAAATACATAGGACAAATACTAAAAAATATCGTCTCCGAGAAATTTAATATAAGAAACTCATTAAATCTGAAAGAAAGTATAAAGGATCTGCATATTGATGATGATGAAATTCTCATATCCTTGGACGTCGTTTCCCTCTTTACAAATATACCCATTCACTTTGCAATCAACACAATAATGAAGCAGTGGTCGAGTCTGCAAAAACACACAAAAATCATAAAAAAGCAATTTCTAACGATATTAGAATTTTGTCTGAGGGAAAATAATTACTTTGTGTACGATGGAACTTACTACCAGCAAGTTTATGGTATGCCGATGGGTAATCCTCTATCGCCAACTATAGCGGACATAGTTTTAGACAAAATTATTGACGACAGCATTATTGAGCTAAGATCCACTGACATATATATCAAATACATAACCAAATATGTAGATGATATATTCGCCGTAGTTAAGATGAAGGACGTGGAAGAGATTTTAAGAATATTTAATAGACAACATACAAAAACACAATTCACTCTGGAGAAAGAAAATGATAACAAATGAGCCTTCCTAGACATAGAAATATATAAAAATAAAAACAAACTAAAAACTAATTAGTACACCAAATCCGTAGCATCCTCAAGGATGATCAACTACCATTCCAACCACCCATGGACTCAAAAGAGAAACACGGCTATAACTTTTATAAACAAAGTTAATTCCTTGAGTGACCAGGAGTTCATGGATCAGAACAAGAGAAAAATAAGAAGCATACTATGTAAAAACGGGTATCCTAACAAAATAATAGAAAGCTTACTAACAGCAGCAGCAAACAAAATCACATGTAAAAGTGGCAATACAAAAACAAAGGAAGACAATTGCAAAATATATACAGGCGTCACATATATACCTAAACTTACGGACAACAAAACACTACGCAAAATTATTAAAAACAACAACGTAAGCTATGCACATAAACCACATCACACTATCCAAGCCATTTATACCAAAACAAAAGATAAAATTGGTAAGGAACAACTACACAATGTAGTCTACGAAATAAAATGTCAAGGCAAAAAAGGAGAAAACTGCAGCAAGGTTTACATTGGCACAACGAAGAGATCGCTTGGAACGAGAATCAACGAACATAAGCTAGACGCCAAAAACAACAAGAGTACCACAGCATTAGCGCAACACCTGACGGAAAACAAACATACAGCTGATTTTGACAATGCAAAGATTTTGGACGTTGAGAGCAGAACGAGAAGAAGGATGACATTAGAAGGGTTGCGCATACAACAAAAAATAACTGAAGCAA